GTCCTTTCGTAGAATTGGTCGTAAACTAGTTGTCAGATACTCATCACGAATTCCAGTTTCTAAAGCTTTCAGAAAAGTATTCTGGATTAACTGGCTACCATAGTTGAAATCAGTGTCTGCTTCCTTACTAGCAAAAACAACTTTATTTCTTGCATCCATAATTCTTAACAAGAACTGTTGCACACTTTCTTTGGGTTTCTGGCACATTGTAGTTAGTTGCTGGTACAATTCTGAAGCTGTCTTCTCGCAATAATGGATCCTTAAGATCTTTCGTAGTTGGGGAAGACCAAGTTCTGGCATTGTCTCAATGTAACTACGGAGGCTTGTGTGTGGTGAAATAGCTCGGATTACTGCATCGACAATTTCATCCTCAGTGTATTTTCGTTTGAGCCCTGATTCAATCTGGTGATTGAGAGAGATATATGTCAGTTTTTCTGCTTGTCCTGGTTCTCCAATCTGCCCCGATATCTTAAAGTCTCTTCTCAACAACGCCCGGGTACTTGAAGGCACTTCAATCACTGATGCGTTTTCACTACTGTTTACTTTGACTTTGGCAGATTTATCATTAACTCCGATTTCCAATTTATCTATCTTCGCTTGCATTTCTAACAATTGTTTCTCTTGTTGGCTTTTTAACTGTTCATATTCCTGTTGCAACTTTGACAATTCTCCTTTCTCATTTACTGGCGATAATTCAGGAGAGCCACCAAGCGTTAAAACAACATCGTTCAAAAGTTGATTTTTCGCCGTCGGGCTTTCAATTCCTTCGACAATTTCTTGAAGCCATCTCCGTACTAAATTTATTATCTGACCCCTCGACTTTTCTTTCAATTCTTCGATCTTTTCATACTTTAACTTCTCGGCCGCTTGCAATAACACATCCACATCGTTTTTATAAAGTAACTCTTCCACTTTTAGTTGTAATTCCTCGAGATTCTCCATAGTATAAACAAATACAGCAAAGTCAAAACCCTTTCGTATCGTCTTACATAATGTCGCTTATATTTCCACCAAAATCGGCTTTAATTCCATCCCTAAACCAGTTGGCAGCCCCACGTTGGGCGCCAAAATGTTACTCCTATTTCCCTTCACGTATGGAACATAACGATTGCAAAAGATATATAATATATTTTATTACTAACAAAATGTGAACTTTATAAACTCTCGTTTTACATGTGCTCGAAGCAACTGTTAATCTATATATTGTCCCGCGAGTGTCCCACGCGTGATTCTTGCGTAATCATACAACTAAGGGCAGGGGCCCTACAATACTTCTTGCTAAATTGGAGGATGTTGGCATTTCATCTTCATGCCTGACTTGGTTTAGAAGTTATCTGAGCGAAAGATATCAAGCAGTACGCATAAACTCTACTCTATCTGAGAAATTGCCAGTGGTTAGTGGAGTCCCACAAGGAAGTATTAATTCTTAGTCCGTTGCTGTTCAGTATTTAAGTCAATGATCTACCGTCTGCATGCCACTAAAACGTGTTCCTCCGAAGCGTATGTTGACGATACTAAACTCATTCTGTCCTTCCATATCAATGACTCTAATGCTGCTCTGATTGAAGACTTAATTAGAAATTGGTGTTTCGACAACCTCTCTTGTTCAACCCAGGCAAGACCAAATTGATGGAGTCTATACGGAAGTCATCAAATGTTCGCAAAGCTATCTGAATTTAGACTCTCACTACTCGGTAAAGAACTAGCACCTGCCGCAATAGTCAAAGACCTGGGAGTTACGTTTGACCCAATCCTCTCCTTCGACAATATCCTTTCTATCATCTCATCCTGCAAGTCAAGTCTCTGTCAGATAAATCGAGCTAAGCACGCCTTGAGTAAAAATCTGTTATTAACTGTGATCAATGCTTTGGTCTTCAGCAGGCTCTACTATATTAATGTTCTCCGCTTTGGTCAAACACTTCCAGCAGTAACCTATATCCCGTCTTCAAGGAGTCCAGAATTTCGCCGCACGAGTAGTGACGAATACAAGAAAGTTCGACAACATCACCCCGATTCTATAAAGGAAATACAGTGACTTCCCGTAAAATTGCATCTCTACTATCGTGATGCTCTATTCTGGCCTTCAAATGCATGAACAATTGTGCCCCCATTTACTTGTCGTCCCAGTTCGTAACCAGAAGTGAAGTGTCAAGTGAGCTCTCGTGAGCCACGAAATGTAAGAAATCTGGATGTTCCATTAATCATTATACAAAACAGCTACTGGACAAAGAACATTCCATTATCGAATTCACTCTTTGGAACAACATTAGCCCAGACTTAAGTCGGTGCAATTCTATTTCAAACTTAATATTTTTAACAATTACTTTGATTAGTGAAAAGAGGCCAAAAAGAACCCAAACTTTTTAATTTTTCGAGCCCAAGCTGAAATCGTGTTATTTAGCCTCAAAAAGGCCAGATCTACCAACCCTGCGTCGTTCAGAATCAGTGAGCTCTGTACATATCTGGAGCGATACGGAAAGCCACGTTCAAACAAGGGAAACATTGTCCAACACTGGACGATGTTGGACAGGTGGTGGCGCCAGAATTCCCGACAAAAGGCGCTAAAGTCCCCGACTGGGGATCAGATATCTTCCAACATTACCCAATATACTGTTCAAACGATGCCAATGTTGAATCCTACGTAATGTTGGATGTTGCATGGACATAAAGTCTAAAGCTAACATAAAACCACTACCTGCTTCCTCCGCACGCTCTTATTTTTGGCACATATCAGTGGCATAGATCAGTGGTTGGGAAAAGACATTTCTGATGTATGTGCCTGCAATCAACTCATCGATGCTTCCCACCATGCTTCCCACCCCCGTGAATTCAATCGTATAAAGCGACTGAGGACGAGCACTGGTCACTGCTACAGCACTCCCTCAGGGTTTCGTCACTTCATTCAGCTTTTTCGTAAAATAAAGAAATTGTCACAACCATGCATGCATGCATGAGAAGGTTTGACATTAAATATGAAAATTGTGATACAAAATCTATTATTCGTAAGGACAACAGTACTTACTGGGCTAACTAAATGGTATAATCCTTTCGTATCAATATCAATATCAATATCATCACAATGTATATACTTATATATATATATACATTGTAATATTTATATTGTAATAAATAAGCACTAAATGTTTTGTTTTTCATAACTGTATATCTGTCAGATATTTCCATCCCAGAGACAGGCATTAAAATAGCGTGGCCTTGTACACACTTTGTGTCCTTGTAAAAGGCGAATGTGCCCTTGTAAATTGAAAAGTGTGTACTTGAAAATATATTAAACTGAAAATATATTAATGTAATCCACGCAAAATGGCTGAAGATTTTGCAAATTCTGTTCTCAGAACTCTGGAAATGCCATTTCAGAGACCCCCTTAAAAGCTCGCGTCTTCGACGCTAAACTTGTGGCTTCGCCACTCGTTCTCGTGTGTCTGCGCATTTATACCAAAAATACGCCTCTGAAGGCAAAGTGTGTCCTTGTAAAAATTCCGTATTTTAATGCCTGCCCAGAGAATTCCGTTTTGCTCATGCAGCCATGCATGTGTTGTTTTAATACGAATCTTGTTGTGAAACATATTGAAATAATCGTCTTGAAATAATCTTTCGCTTGACTTTTTCATTTATCAATTAATCGACTCTCTTTTTTATGAATTATATGGATTTTGAACGATTGCATGATAAATCCAGTTTTCTATATTCTCATTTCATATACACCGTTATTTTCGCGAAATATTACAAAAGAAACACCATCGTAATGATTAAGATATTTCTGGCGTGCTCCCTTAGTATAACTATACATGCCGGGTTTTCAAATTTCTAGGTTCTATACATATAGTCATAGGGCCGTGCCGAGCGATATCTGGGGGGGGGGGGGGGG